AGCCATAGTTATAAAACTTACTTCACAAACACTTTTTTTTTCAAATATTAACATCCCATTTTAATTTCAGAGAAAAATACAGAAATCTAACAAACTAGATTCCAGATTTTTTTTTACAATTAGAGAAAATACAGGTTTTAACGTAAATTACCTTAAATGCCGGATTATATTCAAATCAATACTTGAACCATTTCTTCTTGCACTTCGAAGATTATTCCTCTGTTCATCTGTACGATAAACTCGACGATTTCTCCTTTCCAACCTAGCCGTTTCGCGGGTTGCATCTCTTTGCTCTTGTGTTTGAGAAGCCCTTCTTTGCTCCATGCTAACGCGGCGCTCTTCTCGGTCAATTTCTTGTTCTTCATCAGATAGTTGACTCCTGATATTCCGTTGCCTAATTGAATTACGGCTCCGCTGGGAAAGCGTCTTTTAGGACGCGGCATTGGTATTAATGCACTCGCACAAAACCACATAAAACCACCAAATATAATAACAATGCTTGAACTTTCGAGACATACACAAAAAATAATTTTCTGAACGCACACATAAATATTCGATACAGCATTTGACAGTATCGAACAACAAATGTTTGTCATTGTAATAAACAAATCAGCATTTATTGAAATGATTAAGTATTCATTACACATATCGAGTTTTCATTGTTTTTAATATGTATTCTGCTATTCGGGGCGGAGACAAATCCAACGAATCAATAACCATGAAAAGTGGTTCAGCAGATCTCGAGTTAAAACTGTTCGAACAAACCCGTCTTTGTTTTTTATATATGTGGCAGCACCGCCACTATTTCGGAGTTAATTATAATTGTATCAAGCATGCCAACTCTACCTGCTACTTTGACATTTCGCTATATATGATTTTATTTTCCTTTTATGTCACATTGGTGACCCCGCACATTTTTATTTTTTAATTATTATTTTTTCTAAACTTTTTTATAAYGAGTCTCGATGAAAGTCAACTGGTTTCTGAAGGAGGGAACATCTCAGAAAATGCTACAACACAG